CTGGTGCTCTCTTGGTGGAGTTCTTGGTAATTGTCTTCTTTGTTCTTAGAAGGATCCGTCCCACTCTGACAGCTCCACTTTTGGGCTTCAGGTCTGTATGGCAACCCCTGCATGTCCAGTTCCCTTTTTCCAAACTTGTCTATCATCTCCTTGCTTCATTCTCAACTGGGCAAAGGGCAGCACTAACCTATCATCTCAGCTGTATTATTACAGAACTATTTTAACAAAAGAATTCTATGACAAACTTCAAAAATAAGTATCTGGCTTATGTTTCCTATAATAGGCTGACTGTCAGCCTGCTGACTAATAGAAAAACTTGTTCAGACTTGAATTGGATTCTCAGCCCCATCTAAACTCAGGTGAAGAATTTTAAAAACATTATTTCACAAAAGAAAACCTTCACTCTCCCCAGTTGTGATATCAAAGGCCTAGAATGTGCTGGAAAGAATAGAGGCCCCATCATGTGGGATGGGGAGCCCCAGCTGTGTGCTGCTTATAATGAGGTTCTTGGCCTGTGTGCTGATTATTTCCTGGAGTATATGTCTTACTAACTCAGGGCTGAATCTCAAACTTTGTCTACTGGTCTTTTCCCTACATTTGCCTGTTTCTACCACATTGAGCTGCTAAAGCATTTATGAAGCACTGGATTAAAGTAATTTTTCCAGAATGATTATCTCCTTCTATCCTGCTTTGCATTTACTAACACTTTACTGCAATGCCTTTCCTTAACAAGCTTCCTCCTCCTCCGTGTCTTGCCATGAAACAGAAGTGAGGCTGCCCCTTACCCTTTGGGGAATACAGAGTTAAAGCCTAAGCTGCCTTCTTTTTTTCCCCCCAAATATTTATTTTTTAGTTGTAGTTGGATATAATACCTTTATTTTTATTCATTTTTATGTGGTGCTGAGGATCAAACCCAGGGGCTTGTGCATGCTAGGCAAGTGCTCTACCCCTGAGCCACAACCCCAACCCCTGCCTTCTCTCTTAAAAGGATGGACACTGGGACACTTGCCCAAGGCTATATAGCTAGTGTGGAACATTTAAGCCAGCTTCATATTCTGGCAGTTTATTCCAGTTTATATTCCTGGTAGTCGTTCTACCTATAGAAATAGTGTGTTTTTCTCTTTTGCTTGCTCAGCCAAGGCCTATTTTATCCACTTGGGGCCCATTTTATCCACTGCCTATCTATGGCTGATCTTGGGGGGATTCATTTGTTTTGGTTGTTAAAGCTAATAACACTCCACCAGGCAGCACCAAAGTCACTGACTAAACTAACCTCTACTAATATCTGTCTCTCTCAGGGGTCACTCAAAGCTTTACTTTCTACTTTTATGCCATGTGCTCCAGCATGAGATCAAATCACCAGCAGGTTACAAGGCCCTCAGCCCCAGGGATTGGTAGATACATGGTCTGGCCCATTGTTTAAGGCCTCATGAAAACAAAGCTTGTTGCTTACTTAGTTTGGCAACTCCAAGAGTAGTTCTGTAAAGTATAAGGGATTTCTTGGGTGAAGTTTTGACTGGACTGGCAGAGGAAAGGCGACTGGGGCATATGTGTGCATGTGCTCAGTTCCTCACCTATTCCTAACATACTAGGGATCTCTCTGTCTCAAACTCCTCAGGGGACTTTCTGTTGACACTTAACTAGGATTATAAAGGAAGGGCATGCACAATAGGAGCAGTACTGCCACTGATGTTATTTATTTTTTCAACAGCGAGAACTTTCAAAGGCTTCCAAATCTGAAGCTACTTCTCGAATCCTCAATTCAACCAATATCCATGCCTGAGAAACCCTGACCAGCCAGCCACTGTGGCTTCCTGTGCATAGATTGGACTTATTATACGGGGGTGGCTCTAGTTTTTCTTTAAATGCGCTTAAAACCTTGGACAGGTTCTGTTACCTTGGGCTTAATTTAAAGACATGAACAAGAGTGACAGATTGAAAGTCTGTTATGGGTTTAGTGAGTCCATAGAGAGTTGCTTTTATTTTTTGACTCAAGAAATATTTTAAAACTTAGTTTATAGCTGTAAGTACAAATATTGGCATCTGGGACCTAATTTCTTTCTCTACTCCAGGATTCTACTTTTCAAAGCACTATCACCGTTGTGTAGAAAATGATTGACTAGGCCCAACCTTGGGGGATGAGAAATGAAGTAATTTTGGCATGTATACTTGTAATTAGCAATTAACATTGTTTTTTGTCTAGGGGTGTTCAGTTAATGATGTAGCTATGATAGCTTTGCTCTCACCAGAAGGCCTGTCCCCACCAATCAGGACAGCCTTCCTCCCAATGAGGATGTGTGTGCGTCAGCATTTGAGGTGGCCTGATACAGTGCCAAAGATGACAGGCTAGGAGCACCTTTGTTAAATTGTACAGTGTGTTATATATACAGTGCAATCCGTTTGTGTGTGTGTGTGTGAGTGACACACATGCTTTTCTGGACTGTTTCTTCAGAATTCTCTCTGGGTCCACTGTGCCCGCCTGTGCCCAAGTTCTTCTATCCCTGCAGCTGCCAGCCCAGTTGGGAGGCCGTCTGGGTAGGTTGGGTCATTTCTGTTGTGGAGATGAGCAGCTTTGCACATGTCACCACTGGAGACGTTTTCCTGCTATAGCTTCCACAGATGAGGCTCCTCCTTTACCTACCCTCAACATCACTACTGCACTTCCCGGAGCATTATTATTTATTCTTACTGTCTGCCTGCGCCAGTACTACTGTTGACACATTAAATGGTTCTCAAAAGCTTACCAGTGTGGACTTGGTCTATAGGTGTAAGCCATGCTGTTAGTCATGTCCTGTTTTTAAAATATAAATATATTCTTAAAAATAAAATGTGTGTAGTTACCTTTCAAAAAGATACCATGGCGTTTTTTTTCCTTGGTTTATTTTTTCCCCACAATCAACTTTTGGTTGATTTGGCCTGTGGAAAACAGAAAAGACCAAAAGGATATATGGAAATTTTTCTAGTTAGAACTTTTGTTATTTTGTGTCCTTTTTGGGGGGCAGGGGGGTTGGGAATGGAGGGGAGTACTAGGGGTACTAGTACTAGGGGTACACCCAGGGATGCTTTTCCACTCAGCTACATCCTCAGTCCTTCTTTGTTTTGTTTTAATTTTGACAGGGTCTTGCTGAGTTGCCCAGGCTAGCCTGGAACTTGAGATCCTCCTGCCTCACAGCCTCATGAACCATTGTACCTGGTTTCTTTTTTGCATTTCTAAATTAAGAAACTCCCATTCTTTATTTCTCTCAAAGATCTTTTTCCATAACTCCAACAACTGAAGTATTAGGAATCTTCCTAATTCATTGTCATTTGTTATATTTTTAAAGATGGACACAACATCTTTATGTATTTTTATGTGGTACTGAGGATAGAACCCAGTGCCTCATGTGTGAGGCAAGCGCTCTGCTATAACCCCAGCCCCTGTCACTTGTTATATTAACAGGAATTGCTTTTATAAAAGTGAGCTTTATAAGCTGGGCATTGTGGTGTACACACCTATAGCCCCAGCTACTTGGAAGGCTGAGATAAAGAGCACTGCAAAGTTTGAGGCCAACTTCACCAACTTGGCAAGACCCTATGTCAAAAAAAAAAAGCTGAGGCTGTAGGGTAACAGAACACCCCTGCATTTAATTCCCAGTACCAAACAAACCAAAAAAAGTAATAAGCTTTGAGGTATAACTGACATAAACTGCACTAGCAAAACTGTATACTTTGATAAATTGGTAAAGTGCACAGCTGTGAAATCTTCACCCTGATACCAACTGCTGATTTGCTTTCTGATGCCATAGATTGCGTTTTCCAGAGTTTTTATATAAGAATTTTTTTTCTTTTTTTGTAAATGGACACATTACCATTATCTTATTTATTCATTTTTTTTGTGGTGCTGAGAGTCGAACCCAATGCCTCACACATGCTAGGCAAGCACTCTACCACTGAGTCACAACCCCAGCCCATAAAAGGAGAATCTATAAAATATATTCCTGTTTGATCTCGTTCTTCCAGTACTACTTTCATTATTTTGAGATTCATCCATGTTGTTGCTTGTATCCACAATTCATTCCCTTCTGCTGAGCAGTAGAATTATATACCATATAATAGAGATATGATATAAAACAAACATGAATAAACTGATATATATGTGTGTGTGTGTATATATATATTTACCTTTGGGATGTGCCCCAGTTTTTGACTGTTAAAATGGAACACTTCTTCAGCACTTAACCAGTTTTTTTTTTTGTTTTGTTTTTAGATTATTTTTTTTTAAAGAGAGAGAGAGAGAGAGGAGAGAGAATTTTTAATATTTATTTTTTAGTTCTCAGCGGACACAACATCTTTGTTGGTATGTGGTGCTGAGGATCGAACCCGGGCCGCACGCATGCCAGGCGAGCACGCTACCGCTTGAGCCACATCCCCAGCCCTTAACCAGTTATTTATAACTGCCTTAATCTTTAATTCTTGCTTGCACAGAACTTACAGCTATTCAGAGGAATTTATTATTTTTACAGGCTTTTCGCTGAGTAATATATCTAGTTCTGGCCTGTGTTCTATCTAGCCTTCTCAATCCCTAGCATATGAGAGCTTTTAGAAACCTTTCCTCTGTGTATCTCCTTTCCTGACCTCTTCATCTCCAGAAGTTATATTTATTGCTTATGCCAACGATTTGTCCCTTGTCCCAGATTGCTGCAGCCAGTACTTTTTTTTAAAAAGAGTTTCAGAATGAGATCCTGAATAAGTTATACTCTGTATGTACAATATGTACATACTGAAATATACTGTCATGTAAATCCAAAAATAACAAGTAAAAAAAAAAAGGGCTGAACTTGTGGTAGAGCGCTCACCTAGCATGTGCAAGGCCCAGGTTCAATCCTAAGCACCAAATAAAAAAAAGAAAGAAAGGTATTTGTCCATCTATAACTAAAAAAATATTAAAAGAAAGAAAAAATATAAATAAAACCATCCAGTTCTTGAGAGCCTACAGGATAAGTCAAAACCCACAACCACAATTCTTTGAAAAAGACCATACAATTTATTAGTTGGTTTTGTGGGAGATGAACCCAGAGTTTTCTTACTTTGCCACTTTCAGTGATGTTCCACTTCTAAATGTGTCTATATTTTAAAAGCAGCTTCAAGACAGACAAAGCTAAAACTGGTAGAACTGAAAAGAAAAATGGACAAATCCACAGTCAAGGACTTAACCCTCTCCCAGCAATACAGGATAGCTAGGTAAAAATCAGCAAGACTAGACAACTAAACACTACCCTAGCACCAATCAGCCAGACCTAAGTGTGGAGAACTCCAACCAAAATCTGTTATTAGTAAAAGCTACATTCATCAAAATAGTCAAATAAATCATAACAAATTTGTCTTAAAAACTGTAATGATTGAGGCCTGGGCTTGTGGCTCAGCGGTAGAGCACTGGCCTCGCATACATGAGACCCTGGGTTCGATCCTCAGCACCATATAAAAATAATTGAAATAAGGTATTATGTCTAACTAAAAAAAAAAACAAAAAACCTTGTAATGATTGAAATAAAATGTTCCTGACCATAATGGAATTAAACTATAATAGAAAATTTCTTAGGAAGTACACATACTTAGAAATTAAGGCAAATTCTCAAGGGAAATCAGAACATTTTGAATCAAACGAAAATACAACATATTGATGAATTACAGGGAAATGAGTGAAAAAAATGACCTATAGTGGTTCCTAGTCTTGGTTGTACATTAAAATCATCTGGGTGAGAGTGGTGGCGCACATCTATAACCCCTGTGACTCAGGAGGCTGAGAAAGGAGGATCACAAGTTCCAGGCCAGCCTAGAACAAATATTAACATCTGGGACCTAATTTCTTTTTCTACCCCATGATTCTACTTATTGAAGCACAATCACCATTGTATAGAAAATGACTGACTAGATCCAGGCTTGGGGTGAAAACTTAGCAAGACCCCTGTCTCAAAAAAGGGTAGCAGTGTACTTCAGTGGTAGAGTATTTGCCTAGAGTGTGCAAGATCCTAAATTCAGTCCTCAGGACAAAAAAAAAATGGGATGTAGTGGGAAAACTTCAAAACCCATCTATGTCTAAGACTCACATACAGAGTTTCTGATTCATCATCTGGGACACTGGCCTGTGTCATCAAAGTTTCCAGTGCTCTCCAAGTGTTTCTATAGTGCAGCAAAGTTAAGGCCCCTGCTCTAAGGTGAAGGGGAGTGCTGTGATGGAAAGGGACAAATACAAGGACATTGGATGCTGGCAATGGTTTTCCCTAACCTGAAAAGGAGTTCTTTTTTTCTCTCCTCACCTCCCAAAAGGGAGTTTCACAATTGTTAACTTTATAATTTTCGAACATATTTTGTTCACTTTTCTATATTTTATAACTTAAATACATACATTCACACATGTCAGATCTTCTCTTTTTCCACAGCATACACATAGGTGTTCCATGGCCCACAGGTGACTGTCTTCACTTGGAGCTGTTTCTCTACAAAGTATTCCACAAGGCAGGGCTGATCCACGCTGGTGCTATCCTTGTGGCCAAGCTGTCCATATTTACCTGAAGTGAGATGAGCCTCTTTGCCATCCTCTCCAATAGACCTTGCTACTTTTCCATGCAGCCCATGGATGGCAGCCAGGAGGGGATAAGGTTTACACCCACCCCCTGCTGGTGCTTGCTCTGTGAATCCAGGAGACTGGAGCCAGAAAGCCTCTAGGGCCAGGCTCAGGGTCCCAAAAGTCCAGTGGCAACCAGTCATTACAGGCAAGAGGTTCCTCCAAGCTTCCTTGCTACCTACACCAAAATGTTTAGCATAGATTTCCATTTTATCATTTTCTACCTAGTGCCAGAACACACAAACATGTTTTATAAATGCTGTTAAACACTCCCTTGCATGGACACTTATAATCCCAGCTACCAGGGAGGCTGATGGAGTAGGATCTCAAGTTCAAGGCCAGCCTTGGCAACATAGCAGAAAGGAAGATGTCATAGCTCCCCAGCCTGTCAGTCCTGATGTCATCTCCTATTTCTCTGTTGGTTGTAAACATTCTCTGGAGTGTGCCTAGATCTGTTTAGACCCCAGGAAGGGAGCACACAGCTTTTCAGTTCTGCACCTCCAGTAATCAGGTTGAGACCACTGCTTCTTCAAGATGATGTAGCTTTGTCACCCATCTTTATTTCCAGGCTTTTCCTACCCTTGGCTTAAGGGTCACGAAAACAATCCTTATACTTACCCCAGCCCCAGGTGTACAGCTCTCCTGTTCCTAAAACCAGAAGGACAATAAATAGCTGTCAGTATTATTCTATTCTATGGCAAGACATTGGTCTAGCCTGGCCTGGCACAACCCATAGCCAGCATGTCACAATCCTCATAAGATATGTGTGGTGTGGAACAACATATTCTCTCTTTACAACTGTCTAATCAAATTTGATGTGGTAAAGGATCCAGTGGAAAAAGTTTATCTTCCCATATGTGAACTGAGTGGCCTGCATCTCGCAGCTACTGAGATCAGGACACTGGATGAGGCAGATCTGAGTGTGGAGGAGGCATAATCTTCTGGGCCTGACAGGCTGGGGAGCTATTATTAAAGCTATTTGTGGATAGAAGCTTGATTAAATGAGTAAGTATGTAAAGATGCCTTATACTTGATGGCAGAGCACTTGCCTTGCACGCATGAGGCACTGGGTTTGATCCTCAGCTCCACGTAAAACAATAAATAAACAAAACCATATCGTGTCTATGTATAACTAAAAAGAAAAAAGAAAGATAATACTCTTTGCTGAGGATGCACCTTCAGTGGTAGAGTGCTCTTAGCATGTGCAAAGGCCTGGGTTCCGTCCCCCGCACCTCTCCTTACCACCTCCTCCCCCAGTGTTGACCACTCCCTTTTCTGTAGCTCCAGCTAGAACACAGGTAGAATGCCTTTTCAGTCCATCCTGGAAAAGCCTGCCCAGCCCCACTCACTTGTCACTACAGCAGTGTGCCGGGATCCACAGCTGGCTTTGACTACATCTGAGCCCAGGGGAAGATCCAGTAGAGCTGGGAAGGGCTGTACAGCTATGAAGGGAGCAGGGGCTCCATCCTCAGCCCCAGATATTCTATTCACTTCAGAACCATCTTCATTCAGACCTGTGGTTTTGGAATGTTTATACTGATGATTATTAACACTGAGTATTAAGCTTATTCACACATTATCTCATTGCTACAACAGATCTACAGAGCACATTATTCTCTGGCTTTAAAGCTGATGCTCCCACCATACTCACAGGAAGTGTTAGAGTTGACAGGCTTGCAGGCTGCGCAGTGCTGAGACTGGCATTAGCCTTGCCAATGCTCCCCAGTAAGGGATTCAAAATCCTGTGATGTAGTCTGGGGTGACAAGGATATCAGGCTTCTGAGCACCGTAGCTCTTCAGCCAGCATACATCCAGGAGTAAGAAATGATAGCAACATTGTGAGGAGATGACTCTGAAAGTCATGTTGACCCTCACCTTCCTCTGTAAAAATCTTCTTATCCTCTGCCAGGTTCCTTGCAGGCAGGGCCAGTTGCCCCGATTCATTCCAGCCCCAGATATAAATATCCCCTGTTTCTGAAAGAGATCAAGGGGACCCATTAAATAGACCATGAACCCCTGTTCACCAATCCAAACTTCCCTAACCCTCTCATCAGCTTCTGGGCACTACTAAAGCCTGCTCTGCCCAAGTGGCACTCCAAGGGGGCTGGGGATGTGGCTCAAGCGGTAGCGCGCTCGCCTGGCATGCGTGCGGCCCGGGTTCGATCCTCAGCACCACATACAAACAAAGATGTTGTGTCCCACCGAGAACTAAAAAATAAATATTAAGCATTCTCTCTCTCTCTCTCTCTCTCTCTCTCTCTCTCTCTCTCTCTCTCTCTAAAAAAAAAAAAAAAAAAGTGGCACTCCAGGCAAAGGTGACCTCAGACTCTAGTGGCTTACTTGTCTTAGGTTCCCTGATCCTTAATTCTTTCTGGTTACCTTTCCCTTAAATTAAATCCCTGCTGGACTTTCTCTATTTTCATTTTTAATTTATGTTGCTAAATCAATCCCCCCACACACCCAAACACACCATGGTAACTCCAGAATTTCTGCAGTATTATTTTCCTTTCAAACCCAGTGAGGCAGCCTGTGCCCCTTTTCAACCCCACCTGCCACTAGTCCTGTTGCCTCTTGAAGCTCTCGCCTCTCCTGTATCACTGCTGCTCTAATACCATCATGTTGAAGCAATGGCCCTAAAGCTAAAAATTTGCTAACAATGATAACCTTATAAAGGTTATCATTCTATGATGGTTTTTATGCACTTTTTAAAATATAATCCTTGAATCCTCACAGTAACCCACAAGAAATTATATGACAATACCCCTAATTTACACAATATTACCACTTTGTTCAGGAAACAACTAAGGCACAGAGACATTAAGTACCAGGCCCAAGATCACAGAGGCAGAATGATGATTTGAAGGCATAGTTTGATGCCTCCATGCTTCAACCTGTACTCCAAACCTAAGCATGCCAATTCATCCTGGTCCTTAAGTGTGAGGTCTACCATTGGGCTGTTTCCAGTCCTCTGTTCTATGCCCTCTAGCCCAAAGGTTCTTCAGCCTGGCTGCCAAACCAGGCCCATTACATTAGAATATGGGGAAAGTAACTGAAAAAGCTCTAGTGATGTAAGTAGCAGATTAAGAGCTCTAGCTACAGAGATCACTTACTGCCAGTCACATGCTCTGTGTGGGCTCCAAGAGGCTAGGAAATAGTTGTCCCTGGATCACCCATATGGTTTTGAACTCAACACATCCAAAGTGAACCTCCTGGGGCTGGGGATATAGCTCAGCTGGTAGAGTGCATGCCTCGAATGCACAAGGCCCTGGGTTCAATCCCCAGCACCACAAAGAAAAAATGGAACCTCCTTATCAGGCTCTAGATCACCACCACAGAGTCACACCCACCAACCTCATCCTCCCTCTAGGCATCTCAGGGTCCAGTGTGCCAAACATCACAGCCACCTGGGCAACTTCTAGTCTTTTCTCTGTTCTCCTTGACTGGGCTGCCCCTCATCCTTTCATGTTTTCCTGGATGGGTTTTTCAGAAAGTTGACCCTGGCTGCGGGCAGGTGGATAGGAGGGGTACTGAGAACAGTAATAGAAGTAGAGAAACATCTGAATCAGCCCAGGTGTGAGAGGGCAGTGGTGGAGGCTGAGGGACTGAACTTGAGAAGCACTGGGGAGTCATACAAATGAGTGGGTGTTGACTAAAGTGTGATGAGTTTAAAAAGAGGCCTGAAGAGGCTTCCCACCAAAACTGGAAGAGGAGGGAGGTGTAAAAAGATCATGAGCTAGTCTAGAAAAGTACTGGGTCACTCACCACTCACACACACAGAATGCCAGCCACCAGCCGCCACCTCGGCCATGGGTAAGCCCTGCAACGCCTCCAAAAGCCTTGGTTCCAGCTCTGCCTCCAGCGTCCCGTGGCCCAGCTGTCCGTGCCTGAGCAGGAGAAACCCTAGTCAGCTCTGGGCACATTAAGGGGCCCCTCCTCCGGCTTCTCCTAATCGCTTGCAGCTGGCCCTCACCTGCCCCCGCCCCAGGAGAACACCTGGCCAGCTGCGCACAGCAACAACACGTGTTCCGCTCCCAGCTCTAGCCGGCGTGCCCGCAGCTCCGGGACCAGAGTCCGGCTGAAGGGTGGCTGCGGACTCACGTAGGCGCAGGCGCCAGGCAGCAGGGGCAGCGAGCCAGCTCCAGACTCATCTCGTGCTTGGTCTTCCACCTCAGCCTCAGGCGCCAGCTTCTGGGTCCAAAGGGGCGCCCCACGCAGCGCCGAGCCGGGCGTCCACGCCTGCAGTTCAGTCCCAGACTCCGTCCCGGTGCGAATCACCACGAGGAGTCCCTCCGAGGCCCAAGCATCCCTGCAGTCCTCTGCCGCTCCATTAGTGGAGCCAGACAGCTCCAAACGACCTGCACCTGCGTGGGCAGACCGGGGACATATACCCAGAGTAGGTTCTAGGCAGGGGCAGGGTGCCAAAATGGATGGCTAGGGAGGGAATGGGACCAAAATAGGAGTTCTATCCTGGAGTGGCCATATGGTAGGGTGTAGTTTGCCTGGGGTGGGGCTGGAATCGGGATCAGGTGAGGGTCTCACGGGTCACGAAGGCGGTGTAGCTCCAGCTCGCGCTAACGCGACAAACGTCGACGCCCGCCCGCAGCGGCTCAGGATTGCGCACCTGGCGCCCTCGCCCGGAGCCCAGCGCCTGTCCGAAGCCACAGAAACCGAAGCCGAACCACGCCCCAGGTCGCTCTCCGGCCATGCTCCGCAGCGCCCTCTGCCGGCCGCCACCCGGCTGGGGTCGCAAGGTCCCAGGGATAGGGCTGGAACACAGATGCTTCTTGCAGACCAGCAAGGGTGCAGCACCCTGCGTCTCTGGCCTCCCAGGAGCTGGTGCTTCGTTATCTACAAAATGAAAGAAATGTCATACTCCTGATTACAGGTAAGAGGGCTGGGAGCGCAGGTTCCACCGACTGCATAGTGTTCTTCTCAACCAAACCGAGGAAGTAGAGAGGCAGCTCCGGCCTCACCCACATGTGCCTCCGCAGCCAACCGATGTTCTTAACCTGAATCCAAATCCATTTCTTCAGCTTTACAAAAGCGGTGAGACGGGTGCTGTTTGTATCTACCTCTCAGAATTGTAATGGATGCAAATAAAGGCTTTGGTATGTTGTTGGCTTATTAGGTTCAGTCTGGGGGTTCCAACAGCAATGCCACTTTCACGGTAAGTTGGGCTTGATCGGAATTTTACAAGGATTTTCAAATCTCAGAAATCAGCTCATGGGTCCCCCATCCCCCGTGTCTGCTCCCAACAAGGGGGAGGGGGGGTCTCTGACCTTGATCCTGGCCCAGTACCCTCCATCCCTCAGGAAAGTCCTTTCTCCAGGTAGCGCCACAGAGAGCAGCTTTGAAGAGCGGCGCGCCAAGCGAGGGCATTGGCTGCAGCAGCCTTCCTGGGGCCAATCACTGTTTGGCCCCACTATCGCGGTAACGTCACTGTTTCGGAGGCTGCAGGTAAGTGCTCACCTCCCAGGGAGTCCCGCGGGGTCGGTCAGACCTACGCTGAGTTAACACAAGCCAATCTGTAAAGTGGGCCTGAAACCTTCGGTAAGTACGGACACTCACAGGGCGGAAGAGCTCGGATTAGAACCACCGAGGGAACACTCACTAAGAGTCTAGCTAAAGCCCGAGTAACAGGGCCTTCCTCGCCCTTAGCCAGGACTGACAGGATCTCTAGCTCTTTTACTACTTCCTTCAGGCTGACGGTGGTAGCTCACTACTGGACATGCGCAGAACTCCCGGGCTAACCGGAAGCGGATGTACTGGGCGTGTCCGCTTTTACTTTCCACTGATTGGCTTGGGCCTTGTCATTCACGCTTCCTAGGCCTCTGAGCCTGGAACTCTGGTTTAGGCTCTGAGAGAAGGGAGGGTCCTGGAAGGTGAAAAGTCCCAGAGGTCTTCCAACCAGGCTCAACTACAGAAGAGATGGGTTTTTCACAGCAGTGAAGACATACACTGAGAAACTAATGTGACTCCATTTTTAAAAATAAATAACAGCAGCTTCCACCTCAAGGCCTGTCCTAAGGAAGGGGGCTGACCCTTGTCCTTGGAAAAACCCACAGAGCACTCCTAAGTACATACCCACCCTGCTGAGTTGTTTGTAAATAACAGGAGAGGTCTGCAGCGCCAAGTGTCCCTGACACTTAGGCTAGGTGAGGACCCATGGCAACCCCCTCTAGCAACCTCCAATCAGCATAAGACAATGAAAATACCTGGAATGCACGATGACCCCCAAGAATTTATGGTGGTTGATAACATGATGGGAAACCATGTAGTTTAGCACGTACACCCCTTGTGGCCTAAACCAATCAGTTCAAAGTAACCTCCCTCTTGTACTAGCCAATCACCCCTACCCAACTTGTTCCCGCCAAAGAATGTGCTTTCAATGTTAAGAGTTGTTGTTTGATTTTCCCACAGTATGGAATGATTTGCTGTGTGATGTTGTGAGGCATAAAGTATCCCCCCAAAACCTATAAAATCTCACTGAACAAAGGACCAGGACTCACTCCCTGGAACCGCTGAGTTGGGAACAGTTGTGAGTCCAGGCTTGAGCTGGCAATAAAGACTCTTGTGGGCTTGCATCAAATTCGGCTCCTGGAGGTCTATTGGGGTCACCACCAATCCCAAATCCCAAGCACTGCCTGACTGGAGGTCACCGAGACTCATAAAGACAAAAATACTGAAGGGCAAACATGGGAGTCCATATCCTAAAACCATTTATTTCCAGGAAACTGAATGGTTTCTATTGACCAGCTTCCTGGTCTTACCCCTTCTCTCTCCAGCAGGATTAAAAGCAACTCAGTGGGCCCCGGAGAGGTAAATCTATCAGATTCCTTCCATAAAGGTGGTTCTCCTGCTGCTACAGAACTCTACTGTACACTCACCCATATCCAGCTCCTGCCCACAGAGTCCTCCCTGCTCAGAGAGAAAGCACACATTTGAGTACCATACACTTTATTAGAGGGGCAGACCTAACAGACTGAAAGGATACTAACAGCTAAGAGGCTACTGATACGCCCTTCCTGATGCCTAGAATCCACAGGCAGAGTTGTAATGCCTCTCCCCAGCTCTCTACAGCGGTGAAGAAATAGGGCCCCTGTGAGTAAGGCTCAAGGCAGTGCTGGCAGAGCAGGGCTGTATGACTGATTATGATCCATAACTCAACAGATTGTCAAAGTGCAGCTGTGGAGAAGAGGCAAGAGTGTTTGGTATCCCAGGGCCCATCAACCAAAGCTGCTTCTGTCCTTATTCTCAGTGCAATAGGTAGTGTGTGTGAGAGCCTTGGGCCAAGGGCAGCCCTCACTTTTTATCCTGGTTGGGTTGGATAAGCCCATATTCCATTGATTTTCCTAGGCAGGCTGCAGCAGCCCGAGTAACAGGGCCTTCCTCGCCCTTAGCCAGGACTGACAGGATCTCTAGCACCTCACTCTCCATCAGGGTGCTGGCAATCTCCTTAGAGGCATCCACCATGTTCAACACCACCACAACACCCCGGTGCTGCAGCTCCTGGTTGGGGCTCAGAAGCAGGGCCTGTAAGATCTCCAGCCAATGTGTGGTCTGCAAGAAACAGGGCAGCAATAGGCTCAATCCTGGTGGAAAACACACCTACACCCTGGGACATCCCCCACCAACACCATGAGGGTCACCTATCCTCCCCCACTAAGAAAAGCACTGACCACTTGGGGGATACGGCTGCACAGTGAGGGTCGCATTGACGTGAGCATGGCCAAGCCTCCAGCAGCTGCCCGCCGTAACAATTCATCATCTTCTCCACTGTATAGCACCAACAGCTTCAGCCGGTCATTGCCCTGGGCTTCAAAGAGGTCCTGCACCTGTGGACATATGGAGGGACAGAACCATGTCATCTGGGTGCAAAGCCCATCCAGGGCACAGGGTCAACTCCATCTCTGCATAACAGGACAATCTGGACCATCACTCACCTCCTTGCTCATGGCCAAGTTGCACATGCACTCTGTGGCTGCCCGGCGGATCATCTCGTGTTCCTCAAACATGTATCCCTCAATCATGGGCACAGCTTTCTCCTTTAGAATCTTCTGTCTGAAGACAAAGGTAGAAGAGTCAGCATCATCAGGGATTTCCCTTGGGAATGTCCATTGACAGGGCTGAACCAGATATGAACTGCAGTTGTTTCTAGCCTTCTGACTAGGCCTAGGAAACAGCATAAGACTGTGGAAAATGCTCACAAATAGGCAGTAGGACAACAGAGCAGTGGCGATAGCAGTGCTATTTAAACCCTAACGATTGAGCACTTAACCTGTTCAGCTGTTTGGATTATTTTACTTACTCCTCACCACAACCCCATTATGAAAGCAGGTATGATTATCTTTACATTTTGTAGAAGGGGAAACTGGGACTGAGTGGTGAGTAATGTGCTCAAGGTCACAATTAGTATTAATGTCAAATACATACTGAACACATTGCTAGGGGTCCAAAATGCCTATGTGCTAATTACTTTTACATGTATTTTCTCATTTAATTCTTCTTACCACTACTTCATGAGCTAGATACTATAATCATCCCACTTACAGATGGGGAAACTGAGACACAGCAGTGAGTAACTCGCTTGAAGTTACACACTGGCAATTACTGAGGTCAAGATTTGAAGCCAGGTAATCTCTAGAACCTGCAATGTTCTCACACAATGTCTTGGTGCCTCTCCTGGCCTGTCTCTCATCTGTATAATACAGAGGAGTCACTATGAGGCTCCAATAAGCCAATGATTGACTGTAATCTACCAGGGATAATACAAATCCTGATGTCCCACCCAGCCCTTACCCCTTACCTGAGCCTCTCACTGATCCCCGCCAGGTTTGTTAGGGCCATGAGCGCCTCGAAGTTCTGCAATCCTGAACAGTTGAGGTGCAATAGGGAGACGAGGGGCCGGACCACTTCATAGATCTGTGATATGCCCCCCAATGGTCAGGGCTAATCACCACAGCCCCTGCTATTCCACTAACCCCATGGGGAGGAGTCCACCCTCCAAGAGAGTGCTGCTAAGGCTTTCCCCTACCCTAGGGCTTAGCAAAGCTACTGATACATGATGGTCCCAAGGAGTAGCCCTAGCCAGAGGCCATCTGGGCCCACTGAGGGTGGAGGAGAGGCTACGATTGAGTCAAGAAGGCACTCACCCGCTCACCAGGGAAGGTCATCTCTGGATTGGAGGTGATGGTGAGCTTTGCAAGAGCCTGGGCTGCCTTTGTCTGTCCCACTTCAGTGCCTTCCAGAGCCAGTGGAAGCAGAGCCTGTAGGAACAAGCCCATCAGTGGCCCAGGACATGCCTGGGAATGTAAGCCAAACTGTGCCCCCACCCTTCTCCTTCTCTCTCCAGGCTTGACAACACTCCCTGCTCAGATGCTATTCACCTGAGGTCTCTCATTAAACTACTCAAACTCTTGCTCAAACACCTGTTAAGAGTTAGTTGTGGATTGTGCTGGGCCCTCGGGCCATGGAAGTAAGTGAGAAAAGAGAAAGGGAGGTGAGCTCAGGATTTTAATGGGCATAAAACGCTGAGGTACTCTGAAGAACCCACCCACATCAGCATCACTAACTCTGTAGGAAGCTATTCCTGATGGTCACTAATAATGTCCTTCCATGCCACATCCAACCCTTATCTCTGGCATAACAGGTACTGAATCATGTTTTATAAGCTAAAGGCTTAGCATCAGGAAGAAATAGGTAAACCAGCTCACCTTGCCTCCCCCCTGAGCAACCACAGTGCCTCTGTCCTCCACCTCTTCTACCAAAGCCAGGAAGACTCTGCAGGGAGAAGACAGTAGTGGGTGGAGAGGTCTAAGGTTCTGACAAGCAGATACTCCATTCTTGGGCTCAACAAAGAAAGGCAGGCAAATGGCCTCCCTTGCTCCAAGAGGCCCACAGTCCCAGGACCTCTTCCACCCACAGTCACACTAGCAGCCTAACAAGGCCTAAGAGGTTGGGAGAGCTCTCACTCCAACTCAAGGCAGCCTTACCTACAGAGCAGCTCTCTACAGGAATTAGTCAACACAGGGCTCTCAGTCTTCACCATACATGTCATGGCTGACACCACACCTGCTGCCAGCAGCTTCTTCACCCGAGCCCTCACAAAGCTCGGTTTGTCCTAGAGAAGGACACAGCTTAGGAGGGGCCTTGGCCAACCAGACAAGGAAAGGGAGCCCTTCTCACAGCAGAAATTGATGAACATGGAAACAAAAAGCCAGCTGTTCCTAACAACAGACAAACTCCAAGACTCTTCTAGTGTACCCCTTACCTTAGGGTGCTGCTCAGGCAAGTGCTGCTTAGCATACTTGGCCAGCTCCACCATCTTGGGGTCAGGCTCCTCATAGTCATAGCTGTTGGTGCAGTTGACCAGTGCTGAAGCAACTGCGAAGAGCACCGACCTCTCCTCGGACTGCCAGGAACAGAGGGAAGTTCAGCTGGTCAGTCCAGGACAGAGTAGTGAATGCTGCCAGGTCCAGGGCCCTGTTTCACCCTCTGCTGTTCCACCTGGACATCAGGGTGAATCTGGGAACCTCCCAAGGCCCCAGACTTAGAGAGCACACAAACTTGACCTCCCCAATTCCTCCAAAAAGCTCATCTTCTCTGACACTGCTGCTGCCCAGGCCACATAGAGTAGCTGCTCGGGCTGCCAGCCCTTGCTCCCTGGAATTGCAATACCAAGTCCAAGACCTGTCAAGAAAGCCTGGTAAACTATATCCTAAATGGTGTCCCCAGGATGACAGCAGGAACCCACAGAGCTACCCTACTGAGCTGGAACAGAGCCTTCAGAGCAGCCTCATCCGCCACAAACTCTTCTTTCACATCAGCATCAAAGGTGAGGTAAGCCAGGCCCTCCACTGCCCAGCGCCGAGTGCCCGCATCGATTTGGTCATTGCATAGCCACCTGGGGACATGCAGGGGAGTGAATGACCATCTGAATTGGAGAATGGGAAAGAATATATCAAGATAAAAAAAAGTCAGAGGCTTGGGCATCCTGTCAACATACAGAAACAATGTGCCGGCATCCAGAAGAGTTTGCCTAGGGGAGAACAGCCCCTGCCTGGGACAGAAAGCCCTCTATCCAAACCCCCGACCCCTGAGCTCTGACAGGTGTGGAGCCACAGCAACACCACTCACTTTCGACACTGCTTGGCCAGCTTCAGAGTAGAGCCTTCAGCAAACTGCTTCATGCTAAAGTCAGTCCCTCCAGCTGAACCAAGCTTGCAGAGTCCCTGGAAAAAGAAGACAGGACCCATTGTCTGCCCTCCTCCATGCCTAGTTTAGGCTTCCTCCCAAATTCTCTGCTACGGCTCTCTTAAAGCTGATACACAAATCAGCACCTTCTCCACCAGGCTACTATCTCAGCATTAGGCAATGATTGCCTGTTGAGATGGCCACACGACATAGAGCCTGGTAGTGACTGGCACCCTGGCTTCCTAGGTTCCAGTTCTTCCCAATCTACACTGATAATTGTTCTGTTCCATTCCAGGTCTACAATAAACCACTTTGCAAGTGGAGCCAATATGTGTGTGGAGAAAAGACAGGTGTTTTAGCATGGCCTTATGGGATAGAGAAATCCAGGACTAAGTGACCCAAGAAGGAAGGACAGCTTCCACAAGTCCATGGCCACAGTAGGCTCATGGAAGGCTAGACAATGCCCAAGCTGCCAGTTCCTGGGGACACTGCCTGATTCCTGCAGGCCCAGCCTTTCTTACTAGCAGGGGAACAACATGTGACACCCTATATCCCCAACTCTCCTCCAGCGGTGGAGCACTTGCTTAACACGTGTGAGGCACTGGGTTCAATCCTCAGCACCACTTTAAAATAATTAAATAAAATAAAGGTATTCTGTCCATTCACAACTCAAAAAAAAAAAAAAAGTACCTGGCTTGACAGGAGGAACCTTATATATCTTACTTTCACCTACAGGGTGCTAAGACTGTACAGTGAGACCCAGCCACGTCAGCACCCATGCTCATCCGCCTCCATGCCCACCCTCAGCCTGTCCATCTCACCACCAGTGCCCGGATGCGGATGCTGTCCTTCTCACTATGCTTATACAGGTCCTTTAGCAGCGAGACACCATTGGCAGTGATAAATGAGGCCCTCTTGGCCTTGCCAGCTGCATGGATCAGAGCCTCCACAGCCACCAGCTGCTCTTCCTCCTGCTCAGAGGCACACAGAGCAATCACACTCTCCATGACACCACTCAGCTCCAAGGCCCGGTTACCGGCGTCACATGGGCCCTGCAGGAGGCAGGACACTGTCTGGATGGCCCGTAGCTTCCCGGCCAGCCCTTGGCCCTCAAACCAGCTCCTGAGAGGAACACAGTGATAGTTGTCACACCAAGGCATGCATGAAGTACCCTCCTTTCCTTGCTTCCCTCTACTGACCAGGCACCTAAACTACTTGGAAAGAAATAGCAAGAAAAGCTGCCAAGGGAAGACAAGGGCTCTCTCACCAGGATGACAATGGTCACCAATTATCTTTATCTACTTTCATTCAAGTCTTCCCTGATGACATATCACCTAACAAAGGCTACTGTCACTCACACCATCCTGTTTACTTCCTTTCTTGTACTGAGATCATTCTGTTTATTTCACAGTTTATCATCTGTCATTTCCCCCAAAGCTATAAGCTCTTAAGGGCAAGGAGTTTCATGTTTCCCCTCTGTGTTGGAATAAATACATGGAAAGTGCCTAGTTGGGCTATTGTAGCTCAGTGGTAGCGTGTGTGGAGGTACTGGGTTCGATTCTCAGAACTGTATATAAATAAATAAAACCAAGGTCCATCAACCACTAAAAAAGGATGCAGTAAAGGTATGCACTTGATACATTTATTGCATTACTGGAAAACTGATTTGAGAAGGAACCTCCCTAGTACAGTCACATGGGAACAAGAAGAGAGTCTGAGCAGGGCACAGTGGCATGCACTTGTAGTCCCAGCTACTTGGGAGGCTGAGGCAAGAAGATCACTTGAGTCCAGGAGTTCAAGGCCAGCCTGGACAACATAGCAAGACTCCCTTACTCATCTTGGGGCACTTTGTCTAGTCTCTGTCAGTCCTCCCCAAAGCTGCTTTCCCTGATGAAAGCCTGTCACTTATGCCCCTTCCCAAAGAAGTCAGAACTTTTTTGTTGGAATCCCTGGAAATGAGAAAGAGGGCAGACTCCCTTACTTGATGTAGTTTTCACAGAGTCGGTGGAAATTCTCCCTCTCAGCATCACACTTCAGGTCATCAAAGAGCTTGCTGAGGAGAATGGAGGCACTCATACGGCTGTTTGCTGTCACTGCAAGCTCCCCAGGAGGATCCTGCAAGGAGCCCCCCACCTCCAAGATCTTTTTCAGACCTGAAAAGAGACTCCATTTAGACAGTAGAACACCAATTTCAACCCCTATGTAAAGAGACATGGCTTTCCAGAGACAAGCAGGACTACCTCCTTCTCAGCCGAGAAGTCACAGAGTTCAGACAATCACATCAAAGCAGCACAGAGAACATGGCTGGTGGATATACAATCTCCAGGAGGCTGCTGTGGTCAGGGAAGGACCTCAAAAGTGAGGTCTGCATGCCAGCCCTATGGGACCAAATATTCTGGGGCTCTGAAGTTCCTGCTCTATAAAACTAAGGGGAAAATAACACCCAGGGTTCAGAGGATCATAGTGATAACAAAAAAGCTGAGGGGTGCAAAGGGACCCGGCAGAGGTGCTCAGCATGGCCTTTTCAAACCTTTTTTTATTTATCTTTTTTGGGAAAAAAAGAGGAGTAAACTGACATATTAAAATTTGTTTTTTTTTTTTTTCAGCCAGGTACAGGGGTACATCTCAGTCATTCTGGAAACTGAGACAGAAGGATCACAAGTTCAAGGCTAGCCTCAGCAATTTAGCAAGACTGTCTCAAAATAAAATTTTTTAAAAAAGGGCTAGGGACATGCTCAGTGGTAGAGTGCCCCTGGGTTTAGTACCAATAAATAAACAAAACCTTCAGATAAAGAAAGCCAATCAGGGGTTGAGGTTGTGGCTCAGCCGTAGAGTACTCGCCTAAACACGTGCAAGGCGCTGGGTTTGATCTTCAGCACCACATAAAAATAAAAACAAAAATAAAGGTATTGTGTTCAACTACAACTTAAAAAAAGCCAGTCCAATCCTTCTGTTAACCTGCTATTTCAGGCCTGCTTGGTATGTATGCCTTTGTACACATACACAATCAAAGGGTCTAACTTTAAGCTCCTAAGGGTACTATGCAGGCCATAGGATGTACTTTGATGCAGATGCATGGCTGTGTGTTTGCTACTTTTCTGACCACTCCTATGGATAAACAGTCCTCAGCTACTTAAGCAAATTTCTGTAAACTATATCACCTACCTTGGTCAATAACCCAGAGAGTCAGGCTATTGTTGGGATCCTTAGGTGATTTCCGGGGCACTATTTTAATCAGGAGGGTCAGAGCATTATCTCGGCCTTGGCCAGAGACCCCAACCTCAGTCAGTAGCTCCAAGAGATTATTGATGAGGACCTTCAGCTCCCGGGCAGGATCTGGCAACAAGGACACATCAGTGATTAGCATACACAGGCCCTAGGTTCAATTCTCAGCACCAAAAAGAGGACATTACTGGGATCCACTGTGGCCCATCCCAGTCTGACGTTTGAACTCCTCCAACAAGCCAAGAAGACACAGGGGGAACTGTATCTAGGCTCATGCCTAAACTCCAGCCTTACCCTCAGGCATCTTGGCTACTTAGAATCTAGAATAAAATCCTGTCACCAAGCCATTTCCTAACTAACTTGCAGCTGCAAGTCTGGTCCCAAAAGAACTAGCCTCGTTGGTTCAGCCCCATCCCCTCCACAATAACAACACCCCAAAAAACTGCAGGCCTGCTTCACTCACCCACAATGATGGCACCTTCTTTGCCTCGGAAACCTTTTTTGACACCTTCTTTGAGGGCATCAAATATAACTTGTAGCAGGTGGCAGGCAGCCAGGGACACAGCCTGGTTTTCCACACCCAAGATGGAGACCACTCGTCGAGTTCCCAGCACACTCAGAGTTGCCACTGTCTGGAATGGGAGAGAGGCAGATAGAAGCCTCTGGTCAATGAAGGGCAGCCACAGAGTTTCCTAACTCTGAGCTGGAGAGTGTAGTCAGAGGTGAGAAAACATTTGGGAGGAAAAACCAGCTCCAAGAAAGCACAAAGCAGGCCTGACAGATGGTGTGACCTGTGGTCATGCCAAAAAAATTGCATTTGAAAGGCTTCCTAAAGAAAACATTCCAAAAGAGTCCTTACCTCTGCTCTCCTTGGTCCAATCAGAAGACAAGAAACACTCTGGCCCAGGGAGCAACTACTTTGTTTCATGTCTCCTTAAGAAGGAGAAACATAAACTGGACAAAGCCATCTTATTCCTCCCTAACCACAGCCCTGAGGTCTGTCCATAGCTAAAGGATGTGAACATGAGTGGAATGAACCTGCAAGGCCTCTCTACCCCAATCTTCATCTGGAGAACCCCATAAGGTCCATGTGAGCCCATCACTGGCTCCTTCCAGAAGCTGAAGAAGAAAACAAAATTTACATGGTTAAAGACCATTCTTGACCTCTTGGGAGGCCAAGAAAAATAGCCTATACTTGGTCCAAAGAGACTTCATTGAGGTGCTGGGGATGTAACTCAGTGGTAGAATGCTTGCTCAGAGTGTCCAAGGCCCTCGGTTCAACCTCAGTATGCACCCAACCCAATCCCACCCCCACAAAAAAAAGTGAAAGGGAATTTCTTTGAATACTTCACAGTTCCACTTCTGATTTACAAGTTGTAGTTTCCTCTAAAAGCAACCAAGGGTCAAGTCCCTGTCTGCTAGATCAAGCCAGCTCAAGAAAGAGCTGAGAGCATGGACTTTACTACACTGGTCCAAGAGCAGAACCATTCTGGCTATACTCTCTGTGCTGAGAATCATGTCAGGGTCAGGTAGTTTCTACATGTAAAGTCACTATCTCCATGATAAAAATGTTATGGGTGACATCTTTGACCACATAACTCTAAGTGAGGACCCCTCTCCAGAAGAAAACCCAGTTTGATCTTTTCTTTTTTCTTTTTTTAGTACTAGGGATTCAACCCAGAGATACACAATCACTGAGCTACATTCTCAGTCCTTTCTATTTTTTATTTTGAGACAGGGTCTCACTAAGTTGCAGACGCTGTCTTGAACTTGCGATCCTCCTGCCTCAGCCTCCCTGAATTGCTGGGATTAGAAACCTGTGCCACCATGCCTGGCTGCCAATTTGATCTCTAGGGCCCTTTTCTGAGCATATGGACACTAAATGAGTCAGTGACCAGGTGTTTTTGTGTGAGCTAGCTGTAAGAAAGCAGTGCTCAGGGTGCCCTACTTCATACTAATTCACGTTGGTCTTTTAGGTATTATTTTTATTTTTCCTCCTATACTCTGCCTCAAGTTCTTTTTGGAATAAGATGAAAGGTGGAAGAATGGATGGAAGGTAGATAAATTAATGGATTGTTGAATACATAGATAGATGGATGGACAGACAAATGGACTGAAACAATAACTAGATCTTCTGCCCTACCTACCCGTGATTGATGCTCAGAGCAAATGCCAACCAGTGTACGCAGAGCTGCCAGCATGAGGTCAGTTTCTCCAGTGTCTAGCAGGCGTTGCAAGAGCTGAACCCCATTGCTCCGGAAGATCTTCTCAGCTCCAGCATCCTCTCGGGCCAGCACCACCAAGTTCTGAGAAGCCTGTATCCACGGAAGCACATTATAAGAGCTGGGGATGTAGCTCAGTGGTAGAGCACTTCTCTAACATGCATGAGGCACTGGATTCATTCCCAGCACACCACACACACACACACACACACACACACACACACACACACACAAAGTACATTACAACACTGACACTGTATGTAGCATGGGACAGGTTAAGCAGAAGCCCTGAGCTCTGGACCTCCCCACTTTCACTTAGTGGCCATAAATTTAACCTCTCTAAGCTTCCTTCTAGGTAGAGGGGAAACCCTGCTCTCAGAGTTGATGGTTAGAACAAATGTGGTCCTAAGTCTTCAGCAGAGCCTGAAGGGTAGGGACAGTGCCTCAGTTACCTCTGTATATCTAGCTCCTGGAAGAGGACTGGCCAACAAGTCACTCTTGAATACTGGTTCCCTTGTCTTGGTTCATAGTATAATTCCAAGCCCTCAGAGCTACCATTTAGGTCCCATGATTCAAATAGCAACATACATCAGACCAGGCCAGCAAAGGGGTTTCTGAGGCCAACACCAGTGAAGAGATAGAGGACTATGGATGGGCAGCTCCAGGAGTTCAGCCCCCATGGGCTCACTCAAGGCCCTATACCTTTTGCTTCTTCTCAGTCCCTTTTTCTTCTGGGTCCAACAGTATCTGAAACATTTGTTCCACTTTGGCATCTGTTGAGGACATGTATCGTACCTAGGACAAACGAGTAAAGCACAGAAGCAATCACTTCTCTTGGCCAGAGATATCACATTCCTTGCTATTCTCTCCGTCTCCTCCAAGGCCTGGCTCCTGTCTCTGGGAGGCACAGTGAGGATGTCTGGACTCAGGGCTAGCACCACACTACCATGGGCAGGAAGAGACTTGCTGGGAAGCTCCTCCTAAATTTCCTGAAGTGGATTTTCCTCTCTGAGCTAATTCTTGTTTGGGCAACAGGAACAGCACCAATGCTAAAGGTAGTACTCTTTGGAAGGGTAGGTATTCTATTAGCCACAAGGAAACCCACTGACAGTGGTGCCATCTATGTAGAGAACTCATGGCATACTCATCAAGGGAGCTGGAAGGCTAGAAGGCAGTTGCTGACACTTCTTTTGGCTCAGAATTCTCTTTTTGACAGGTTTTTTTTTTTTTTTTTAAATCTGAACAAGTAAGACCATCCTAAGCCTACTTACCTACCTATCCCCAGGTGATGAGGCATCGATGATGGCACAAACTAATCCCCACTTCTCCCCTTGCATCCATGGCAGACATGACTAATCAATCACAGCACATTCCCTTGCTAGGCCCAGGAAATATGCTTCCTAGTCCTCTCTACATATAGGCAGCTGCTGCCATCCAAACAGACTTAGCAAAGAAAGGAAAACTATTTGTTTTCCCAGGTCTCAACCTGTCAAAAAAGTGTTTGCCATTATATTATTTGCTTCTACTGTATATTTTAACAACACATTATCTGGTTAATTCAAACTTTGGTTAGAGTTCATCCACAGTCTTTGAATTATTTTCCCTCAATTAATTTAAAAATATATGTTCTAGGGCTGGGAATGTGGCTCAAGCGGTAGCGCGCTCGCCTGGTATGCGTGCGACCCAGGTTCGATCCTCAGCACCACATACCAACAAAGATGTTGTGTCCGCCGAGAACTGAAAAATAAATATTAAAAA